TAATGAAATGTTAGTGATTCTATCTTTGCTTGTGACAAAAGCATCTAGATGTGAGTTTCTATAATATAAATAAATGTAGATGGGACACAATGCATTTATGACCATTCCTTTCCTTCACCACCAGCCAGGGGGCTGGGGCAAGTAAACAATAACTCCTAATAATTCTAGCAGCTTCGATCCATCAAATAAGATGCTTTTTCTATCCATCACTGATACATAGCACAGCTGCAAGGCAAGCTACTGTTTGTGTTCCCTCACACTCCCTCTAGGGAAGCAAAAGATACTGTTTCTCTTGGTACTCAAAATGCTTGACCACTTTATTTCTAGTTTCTCCAAAACAAACCAACTACTGTCTTAAACCTGGATCCATGACAGGAAATTTGAAGGAAGACAGTGTGCAGATAATTCATATTTATATGTACTTTTAAACAATTCAGACTGAGACTACTGTACATTTAAAATAGTTTATAAGTCAGAGTGCTTTTCACCATTCACGCTGTTTACAGAATAGACTGCCATAGTTAAATGCCATTCTCTGTCTTTCCTGTAATACAGTGCTACTGTGCATCCCCAACCAACCAACAAGATAAATTTGCAGCGATGAACAAAAATACCATTTTTCTGTCAGCAAATTGTATTGATAATATCATATTTTATGCATTCATTTCCTACCTGTGTGCAGCCAAAAGTACTATATTTAAACTGTATGTGATGGGCAGAAGAAAAATAAAAATTTGGCTTTAAAGTTTAGAGAAAATGCTTTGTTACTGATCTGGACTTCTATTTTCACATTTTTCTTTAAATCTATTTAAGCTTGAAGAATATCAAATTCAGTAAAATAACATGTCTTTTATTTTTTGAGTCCAAATTTTCAATAGGTAGAAAAATAGGCAATTTAGAGAATGAAATAACTATGTATCCATTTAAAATGCCATAAATTAAATATGGAAAGGCAATAATTTCTAGTGAAGATCAAGCCAGTGAATTTAGTTCCCATAAAGACTAAGTCACATATCTAAAGCTTGATGATAAATCATTAGCGTCTGCCAGTTGTACTAGATCAGTAGTGAGCCATCTGGCTTATTCTGTTTATATCAATCTAATGAGTGTTATTCCAAGTTTTTGATATTTCCATAGCCCATAAGTAATGTGACTACTGGCAGTGGGCCTGCATTACAACCTAATTTCTGGGGGGATGTTTTATTTGATTTTTGTTTGTTTTTCATAGCAAATCAAAGTTTGCTGCTTCAAAAAATGAATTTCACTGAATTGGAAAGACGATGGTCTCCGATGTTTAAGTATAGCCTTTACTATATTTATCCCTTTGCTCCACTGACTGTGTTCTCCCTCCACCAACTATGGGGGTGGGGGATTAAAACAACAACTATCCCTGCCTCCTTTGCCTCCCCCTACTTCCTTTCCTCTTTTCAAATTTGTTGCAGAAGAAAGTTCTTTAGCACATATTCTGCCTTTCCCCAAATTGACTCTGCCCTTCCCCAATTTGATGCACTAGTTGCTGTGGGGAAGAGAAAGCATCACCACTGTCTCCTGTCTCTTCCTTTCCCACACTCTGCTTTCTACTTGCCCCACTTCACCCCCTCCCATGCCTCTCCTAACCTCAAAGAGTCGAAGGCCAGCTGGGGCTGCAGCTGCTGGCTGGTTCTTCTCTTGAAACAATGGCGCTTAAGCAGAAAAGCAGATGCAAGTTTAGAAGTTGAAATTAAAAAATAAATCCACAGGTCCAAGCTTTAAACTAACGTTTAGACCTTTTTAACTCTCCTAGTTATCCACCCCCACCTTCTCTCAAATATTAGGGAAGTCTCCTGAAAGCAACACTCCAGAACAGTGGTTCTCCTACACAAGCTGCATCAGGATCACCTGGAGGTGTGCTTACAGCACAGACTGCTGGGCCTCAAGCCCAGACTCATTCAACAGGTCTAGGAAGAGACCTTAGAATTTGCATTTGCAGCAAATTCCCAGGTGATGCAATGCTCCAACACACGGGAAGAACTACTCCTCAGACACAGAAAAACTGCCAAAGAAAGAGAAAGCCCAGGGAAGTTGCAGTTCCACTAAACATCACCTCCTTGCTGCTGAGAGGCTCAGGCAGAGTCCAGTCCACTAATACAGGAAGACAGCACAGTGGGTTTTAATACAGGCAGGCAATGTTTGAACACAGCAGCTGCTTGAATTATTTCACTTCACAAGTGGTCCTTCAGGACAGTCAGAGTAAAAGTGTGAAGAAAGGGAAAGTGAAATTCTGGAAACGAATATGATGCTCTTTTAGACAATTTGCTCTTCAGATTCCCGTTCACATCTTAGCTATATTTCCATTTTCTGCTTTAAACTGCCCACAGCATTTTGCAATTGGCACTGAAATCAGACAGAGTTGGATTTAAATCCTCCCTTCCTTGCTTGTGTCTACCTGTGTTAGTAAGCTTTTTGTTCTTGCAACAAATACCTGAGATGAACTAACTAATAAAGAGAGTTTTATTTTGGCTCACAGACAAAGACTTCAATGCATGGCTGATGGCCCTGAATGTGCACTGACTGGTTCCTGTACAGCAAATGCTGGATTTCATCATAAATGCCATGTCTTCTGGATTTCCCATGAAACTATTTAATATCATAGATATTGTATTACCTACTTGATATTCATTAATTTGACCACTAATTATAGATCATATAAAGAAACATTGTAGAATAGCTACTGTCAAATATATAGTACTCCCCAAATATATTGAAATTATACCCTGTAAAGAAAAAGTTTGATATAAATATTATTTCATTTAGAAAATACTGACTTTACATGAATTTATACTTAAGAAAAACATTTGCCTTAATAACTGGCTAGCAAAGGAAACTGAGAGGATGTGCTTAGTAACCACAAATTTTGTTTGGATAGAGTGTAATAAAATAATAGAATGGAAAAAAAAACAAAAACAGTTCTGCAGATATTGTGGCCTGGTATCATTCAGGGCATATTTTAGAACATCCCAGAGAACAAACGCCCACTTTTCCCCAGAATAATTATTTTATTGATGTGACAAAACAACAAAGAATAAATTTGGCCAAGGGTATTCTATTTTCAGTGTGCACTGACCTTATTTTTATCCAGTGTGTCACTCAGAAACTTAAAGATCAGAGAGTAGCAAACAGGAGCAGAATTCCTCTTTTGGGTCTTCCTAGACCCCAGGTCAATATCACCAATTCACTCTTCTACCAACTGTCCACCCGAATGATCAGGCCTCACTTTTTGAAATGCACAGTGAAAAGGGAAATGTGACACGCATTGAAATATCTTGATTTTACTCGTTATGGTGCCTTTGCTCTTTCCTTTTAGGTTTTCCCTTCTCCTGAAAATGTTATCATAATCACAGAATTTTAGTTGCTTGGTAGAGGTTTTAGAAATATCTAGTCCAATCCCCAATTTTACCATGAACAACAAAGGCCACAAACTTTGAGTATCCTGCCCAAAGCCAAGAGCTCTTGGACAGCAGACACAGATGTCTTCCAGCCCCAACTCGCACACGTTCCCCTGTATCACTGGCCTCCACATTTGCTCAAAAGCAGCATCTGCAAAAAATTTTCATCATATTTTATGGAGAAAGACCCCTGAGCTTCAACTTTTGCATCCCAGTGCTAATTAAATGATTGTTATTGATGCTGACAAGTTTTATTTGAGGCTCTAGCAGGTGTCTGAAAACTAGAGTTCAAAATACAGAACTCAGGAAACATGCAAGAGATTCGATGCCCTTATGCTAGATTTTCTATAAAACCAGATACTAAGGGTTACACTTTTGTTATGGGCAATATTTTCCTTCAATTTTCCCTAAAGTATCTTGCAAAGCCAAAAGGCCCAAATTTTTTACTGGAATAAAAGTGTAAGGTTTAAAATCTGACCTTTACATAGAAAAAATGATTTATTATCTGTGTTCCTATTTCCAAATGTCCTAACACATTTCTTACTTTGCTGATATGGTTTGTTTGTTTGTTTGTCCTTCCAAAAGTTCTGCTCCCTAAACCTGTGGCTTCTGCGATGAAGGGGCATTTGGGGTGAAGGTGACAAGTCTGCAGCTGCCCCAAGTCATTCGGCCCATTTTGTTTGCAGCACTTTCGGTGTAGCTTTTCCACACCTGGTCTCTGCAGAAGCTGGATGTTTGCCACTAAGCTCAGGTTTATCACCTCGGAAGTTTCCAAGAAACTGGAGCTCTCCCAGCTTCTCCCCGGACCCCTGTACGACCTCTTCTGGCCACAGACGTGTGAAAGATTTGCATCCTTCCTTAGCCAGCACCGTTTTCGCCCATTACAATCTCTTCCTTATTTCTGCTACAGATAAGCAGCCTTGTTCTGGACAAGACAAAGGCAAAGCAAGGGAAAAAAGTTCGGACCTGAGACACCCAGAGCACTGAGGATCACCAGGTCAGGAGAGGCAAACACTGTTGGCCAGCATGACTTAAATTTTCAGAAAGCCCCAGACCCCTGGGGGTCGGTGCGGCCGGTGGGGGTGGGCAGGCGCTGTCAAGGCACAAGCCAGCGTTCAGACACCTTAGCCTGGCGGCAGGAGAGGGACTCGCGGGGGTAGAGTTCTTTGAAATGATCTTGCGGGAAGATGCGGTAAACCCACCTGCACGCCTCAGAGCGCGGGATGGGACGGACCGTACTGCAGCTAACGACGCAAGGTACTGTCTCTTCCTGCTGCCTCTCCCCGGACCAGAACACTCACTCCCGTGCACTCACAAACACTGGCGCACTGAAGTGGCGTGGCCGAGCAGGGGCAGGTGTGCGGCTCTGCCCCGAGGTACCTGCCCGGCCCTGTAACCCCTATCGACTACAGCCGGGCGCGGGAGGAAGAAGCGCTGACCCAGTCGGGTTGTATCACCCCTGGGGCGGGAGCGTCGGGACGGGGGCGGCACCCGAAGTGCCCGGGGCGCCCACTCTTCCCCTGGGCACAACTTTGCACAGCCCGCGCCGCGCTCGCGTCTGCTGCCAGTCCTTACCCAAATACTGTCGCAGGTCCAGCAGGAAGCGAGGGGGTCCCCCGCTGAGCTGGTAGAAGAGGGAGCCCAAGCAGAAGACCAGCAGGGTGGCCATGCAGAAACCGTAGTCCCGGAGGGAGAAGCGCAGAAGGGGCAGCAG